AGGTTGAGTTGATTAAAGGTGAGCAGGTGAGTTCCTAAGGCGTTGGAGGCAGACAGGCAGGTGAGCAGGGCGGAGATGTTCTTTCTTATTAGATGACTCGGTAGGAACACTGGACATAAAAAACACAATAAGTATCAACAAGAAGATTTTCAAAGAAGAGCAGCCAGGACAAATACCATAAGGCATGTGTTGCTCCGGCGAGGATCAGTTCACCAGTGTCATCTTATAAAGCCCTCAGGTGCTCATCAGGAGATCAGCTGCAGCTGCGCTGATTRACGCCTCAGCCAAACAGGAAACTGCTGGTGAAAAACTCAAATTGCTACAGCTACAGTATTACACAAAATATCATTTCGTATTTTAGTCATTGTAATTAGGCCTTTCCCAATACCATTACAACTTGAAATCTGTCAAAGATGGTCAACATGCCAGCTAAACTGTTTCTGAAGGCTGTACCAAACATTTCTTACTGGATTTCAAAAGCATGGCAGAAGCAAAAAGTCCTTAAGATGTTCTCCAGGATCTTTACAAGGTGGATTTTAAAATATTATGCAAAAGAAACAAAAATTACACGTGAAGTAGACATTTGAGTAAAATCATTATTCACAGTTCAGATGTGGATATAATATGTTTTACAGCAGACTAGACTCTAACCCTGACTAACCACAGACTCTAGATCAACTGAAGCAGATCTCTGGGAGGAAAGGTTGGAAGCTTCACCTAAATATCTGGAGGCCTGATRCACTTTAATGGTTATCTTTGGCCTTGATAAATCGAACCTATATATTCATACTCAAATGCAAAAACATTGCACAAAGCTAAATATGAGAAGTACAAAAACAACAAGATTTTTTACCACAACCGCACTCAAGGCGGTTATGCTGTTGGACTTCATCTCGTAAGTAAGTGTTTATTTTTTTGTTTGCTTCCTTGTTTTGTATTTACATTTATTAAACAAGAGTACACCAGTTATACATGCATTTGAGCATGAAATATGTTAAGTTACTGCACTCAATGTTGGTTTATGCATGCAAGAATTGAACTTTATGGTTTTATGGAAGACTTTGATTATAATTCTTATGTATGAGACTCTTTTGAACAGCATGACTGAAATAAGGATCTACAGTTTAGGTTTTACATGCAGAAGAGTTTTTGGTATTTTCAATTTAGACTTTAGGTCAAAAGAATATTAGCATTTCTGACAAATAGTCTATTTTGTGGAAAGATCCAATAAGAAACTAGCATTTTTTCATGTTTAATGTCAGCCAAAGTGTTAAACTAGATACCACATAGTGGTGGTATATATGACCCCCACATATACACAAAGCACCAATCTGCCACTGGTTCTGGAACATAATCTCAGGGTTGAGAGGTCATCTCAAAAAAGTGGTCCTTAATGCTACAGTAGTGACACTATAATGTCCCTTCTATGTACTCCCTTTCATTTTCTTAATTGCATCAGACCCAATAAACTAAACAAATGGTCTGACCTTTTAATGCTTTTACCAAAGATCAAAAATGCTACATTAGCCTGGTTTGTTTTAATCCAAATCACTTCATCAACAAATAAATTACACCTGGCAGGTCTTTTTTTCTCCCAAATAAACTGACATCCAAAAGTTGGTGTAACTGTCTTAACATATCTCTGTGAYCAGTGCATATTACAACAGCTTCCTCACTTCCTGCCTTGACTCGCATCAGCCAACACTGCCCCTGATGTGTGAACGTGTGGTTTGCCATGTGTTTGAGTTCAGTCTGTCCCGCTCCTCTCTGAACAGAGATCAGACAACTTGTTTTACTGCAGTAAAAGTTCACAGAGTTACAGGGTTTCTTTAGCCTTTCACCCACTTCTGTGTCTAACTGTGTGAAGGATCCACATGAACTTCATGAGCAGGTGGAAAAACCCAGATCAACTGCTCATCTAAACAACAAACAGTAAACCACTAAGTGACCATTACATTYGTCTTCATCTTTAAAAAGACGTTTCTGATATTTTGCAATAGTGCTCTGCAGAAAGGTATGAACATTATCTTAGCTATTGTAGATACTGTAGCTCCCAAAGTTTTGATTAGGCCCACAGTACAAAAAATGAGAGCCCTCTAGTGGCTGACTGCAGTACACTTTTAGGTGTCAAACTTTAATTTAAACAAAAATAAAAGTTTCCTGAAAAAAATTTATATAAAAAATGCACCTTGCACTTTTTTAAGTTTCTGATTTCTGTTGATTCATATAGCTCTCACTTTGCAACTGTATGCTCACTTGTGCATTTCCCCCCRTAAAGTTAGCTTTAATTAGTTATTTAAGGCTTAAAGAAAAGTCATGGTACACTATAAATGACAGCCTGTTAGCAAGWTGGGAGAGGCTGAATGCAAGACTTTTGTATCGATGGTACATTGTCCTAGTCTGGCCCAGCCTTCCTAATTCTGCTTGATTCTAATCTGCCCTTACTGCTCCGTCTGGGCTTTCTCCAGTTGACACGGATTTCTMTTGTAGAATTTCAACCGGGCCAATCAGCAAACAGAAGGTGYTTTTAACAATGGCGTCAATTTTCTGTGTTTTTTCTGCCTGTAGTTTAACAACGACTGATTTGTTATTTGTTTCWTGCCAGCCTTGCATTTTCTTTTTATTTAAGCTTTCATTTAAGTTACTCAGGTTTTGTCTGCATTATTGGGTTAAAACTTTATAAATTGTGATAGTGTCAGTTGGCATTAGCCAACCAGGTTGATGTCATCATTTTACAACAGACATCAACATTAATYGCTGCTAATGCTGCTGAAGCTGGTTCTTACAAGTGCTTTGGTTTAATCAATTACTGGATGAGTTATGAATTTTAATACATATTTGTGTATTACTGATAAATAGAAAACAATCAAAACATGAATTAAGACCAAGCTCTGTGTGCTGCTTTAGAACAGAGGTGCCCAATGTGGGGCCTGTGGGCCAAAATTGGTCCGCCAAGCCATTTGATTTGGCCCACCAGCAGTTTTCCTGGTTACTAGATTGTAATCTTCTGTCTTATGTAGAAATATTATATTTCTACTTAGTCTTTTCAACCATTGGTCCAACTACAGGATCTGTAGTTTTAATTCACAGTACTCAATTTATCTTTGAATTATGTTAAGATTAAATATAAAATCAATTCAAGTCTATTTTACCATAAAATACAAGTAACTACAAAGATATTTAGATTAAAGCACATATCTAGATTTGCACACCTTTTAAGGCCCCATTTACTCAAATTTTAAATTATGAAAAGTCCCATGAGCCTTTGATTCCCAAGCATATGTTGAATTTTCTCCATGTCCATGGGCTGGAAAAAAAAAAAAGAATGTGGGCAACCACACTGGCTGCTAGCTTAATAATARAAAATAAAACAGCTTTACTTAAAAAGTATTTGCATTTCATGTATTATATTATTGCATTTGGCCCACGGCCCTCAGACTGATTTTCATTTTGGCCCTCACAGGGAAAATGTTTGGGCGCCCCTGCTTTAGAATGTTAGACGGAATCTGTCAGTTTACTAAATTTTGACAAATATTTTAAAACATGACTTCATTCATAATAAAAAAAACCACTGATATTAAGTATAACAAGAAATGTGTTTGGTAAACAACAATATAGGGATTTACAAAAGGCTGTAATTCTTTACTAAACTAGTAAACCAGTTCAAACTGAAAAAAAAAAACCTGTAAAACCAAACCTTAAAATTTCAACACACATGTCAGTGCAGCTTTACTAGAACAGATAATTTACCAGTGCTGACTGTGGAACAGGCCCATTATCAACTGGGTCAAAGGTTCTGGCTCAAAGACRACTCCTGCGTTAATATTCAGGAGCCATCACCACGGGATTGGGCGGCGTGGGCCTATAAAAGACCAGCGGATCCAGAAAAATTGCGTTCTTCCCATAAATGTGAACTCATTTGCAGGCTGAAGTTGTGCAATAAACGAAGAACTTTTTTTTAAAGTAAGTACAAATTTCTTTGTCCAGAACATTCTGGTGAAGAGCTAGAGTGTACTAAAASTAGGTCAAACTTTCTTTGTGACATTTTGCTAAATCAATTCAGAAACTAGAGGTTTGAGTTAATTGTTCAGTAGTTTAGCAGTGCAGTAAAGATAATATTAATTTTGTTTTGTTTAAATTTACCTGTAATCATTACAACATTAGAGATAAAAAATGTAAATGGAAAATGACATTGCAATTGTGAGTTTTACATAAAAGATGCTTCAGTAACAAATCCAACTTGTTTTTTCCATCCTGTAGGCCAACAATCAGTTTGTGTCTGAGCTGAAGCAGATCTGCTGGAAATGGAGAGCATGCAGGACTTAATCCCCTTTGCCAAAGAGCTGCTCAGTCAGAAACCAACTCGGAACMTGGTGAAAATCTATATGCTGGGCTCCCTTTTTGCAGTGCTGGGCACAGCCATCGGCCTGGTTGAAACCCTGTTGCACCCCTTTTCCTCTGGGGAGCCACTGGACTCAGAGATGTTCCTTCTGTTGGCCCGAGAGCAGAGAGAAAGAGAGACACAAACCAGGCYRGGAGGCAGGGWRGAKGAGGAGTGGGAACAGGAGCTTGCTCAAGAAAGCATGACCAGGACCCACAATTTAATCCCAACCAAGACGCATAAACTGAGCCACCGCAGCCTGGCTAACCGCCTGCATGCTTCCTAAAATCAATAAAGTCAGAAATGAGTGACATGAGATATTTATTGGAGATCCCGTCTGCCACACCACTAAGGCCTACAACATGCACGCCACTCTGAAACTTTCTAGAAGAATGAATCTGAATTTCCTGTCTCAACACTGAAAAATGTCTTAGCAGTTTGTGTCTGAAGGATAACTGAACACAGCATTGACACGGAAAAGACAGAAACAGCAGCCAAGTTCTTGTGACGTTCAACACTTCTCTTTGTTTGTAGGAAAAGTGAGTTAAAAAGGAGTTTCTGAAAGCAGCCTTGTGATGGTCAGCTGTGAAAACTGCTTTAGAGCACCACCTGTTGGCTTTTCTGAACTCACTCCAATCTCAGAAAAGCTTTTCTGTGTAAATAATGTAAAAAAAAGTTTGTATTTGCTGTTGTTGTTTTAAACCAGTAAAATTTATTTTATTTATGGCTGGTTTACTGGTGCTTTGCTTTCCTTACATTACATTAGCAYACAGCATACAAGTGATTTCTTGAACAAAATCTGTCAATATTAAATTTTATCAAAGGTCTAGCATTTTTTTTAAAGAAATGCATATCACTCAACCCTTTTTATGGTAGACACGTAGACTAAGATTATCATATGATGAAAAGCTATTGAGCTGTAGCTGTCTTGGTAAAACCTTGAAACTGATACATTAGATTTAATAATCAGATTATGTGTTGGGAATGACTCTCAGCTACTATCACATCATTTTTAGCTCAGATTTTAAATTTGTAAATTGATTGACATATCTATTTTAATAGCAATTTTTGTATTTGCTGATAAATCTGAGCAGTGATAGCCATTTCAAAGTGTGTTGGCTCCAAAAGTTAATGAGTTGTAGRTATTCARTGATTACTGTCTTGAGAGTTTCATTAAAATTAATTTGATTAATTGATATTTTGCTAACAGACAAACACAAATGTCTTTTTATTCTTRTTGGAACATCACATTGATTATGATTCATTTCTGTACCCTATCCCAARCCTAACCCTTAGCAGTACTTGCCTAGGCCTAACCAAAACCTAAAACCCCACAGAAACTTACCTGACCCTAAAACTAACCTAAAACTTGGTCCTAAACCTAACCCCGCACCTGTAACATGCATTTGGACC